CAGAGCCTGGAGCCTGCTCCAGATTCTGTGTCTCGCTCTCTCTGTCTCTGCCCACCCACCCCCCACCTGTGCTCTCTCTCTTTCTCTCAAAAATAAGCATTTAAATAAATAAATAAAAATAAACATTTTAAAATGAAATAAAAGTTAATAGAGGTTGAAATGGCTAGTGATCAAGTAAGCAATTTGTTTTATTTATCTATTTATTTTTATATTCAGCATCCAACACAGTGTTAAACACCTACTAGATATTAAGCCAATATATGTTCAATAATGAATGAATGGATGGAGGAATGAATGAATGAGCCAGTGTTAGGAGAAAAAGGAAGGCACAATATGCTGCAGACTATTTAGCAAGTGAAATCTTTCATTAAATTTTTTTTTTCCTTGAGAAAGGGGTACAGAATGAGGGAAAGGAAACGGTAACTCTTCAGGGGTAATACTTAAGGGGCAGAATGATGTCAGTATTATGACAATGACATATGACATCAGTATTTGAGATAATTACTAGGGAAGAATAAGTAAGAGGGATTCTACAACCATCTACTAATGGCTGCCAGTTTTTTGCTGCCAGATTTTATTCTTAATCTACTGACTATGATTTGACACAATGATGATACTACATTTGGAGCATGGTAAGGAAACTATGACCAAACTCTCTTCCAAGAACGCCAACACTAGAGTCCACGAGCTCCTGTTTGCACCTGCTATAATGAGCAGCTGTAACTGGTGTTAAGTGCAGAAAGGGAAGCTACTTCAGATCTGTTTTGGACACGGATGAATGTTATCAGTAGGGCCCCAGCAAAAAAAAAAAAAAAGGCACATTCAAAAAAGGTATTCAAGAGCATTTAATGAAGGAACCACCTTCAAAAGCAGAGGCAGGATTTAAGAAAAGCAGCAAGGGATGGTGGAATACTCCCAAGATAGCAACATCAGAAAGCTATTATCATCACTAGGCCTAAAGGGGGCAAGTAAGGGGTGACCAGAACCCAAAAAGATCTGTAACTGTAGCTGGCTGGCAGATAAGGGCTGTTGACTAGAAGCTGTGACCTACTCACAAAACACAGAACAGCTTTAGCAACACAAATCCAGCAGGAGGTAACTGGCTCTTCAGGCTCCCTACTGACACACCACCAACCAAAGTCAACCAGAAACCATAAAGCAAGAGGTCAGTTGATACAGTCATAGAATCTGCTTCCCAGAGCACTGATCAAAGTGGATAACAGATCTGGAGGGGCAAAAGAAGAATGTGGAGCACAGAAAGGTATTCTAAATAACTGCCACACAGCAAAACACAAGTATATAAGAAGTTTTTTCCAGTTCCTCCTAAATCTTCTAGACACCATGCGACTGTCTACAAAAAAGTCATAAACACAGGGTACCTACTTGAGTTTCTACTGCCCTACATCAAGTTGGGCAAGGAAAAAAAAAGGATTCTAAGAGTAATTCTAGGTCACTTTTGTCACTTCTGCATCCCTAAGGATAAATAGGGATGCAATCGATCAGGTCTAAGACAACTCCCTTCTCTGTACTCAAAAGGCAACTATTCCATACCTCAATTATCACACTTATCAAGATGTACTATAACCTGTTTATCTGTCCTTCATTAGACAGATATGAGCTCCTTTACGGCAAGGAGTGTCTTTATCATCTTTGATTTCTTAGCACCTAACATGGACCTGACAGAATCAGCCTTCAACCTACGTGCACTGAATCCATCAGTGGACTCAGTGTCCATACCTGGCAGTCTTATGACTGGTGGATAAAATGTGGAATGACTCTCAGAAATTGAACACTACTAAGTTTTATTCAGGACATCATTTAACACAATGGGCAAAAACATAGTTCCTTTCATACCAGCCTGCTATCATTTCCTATAGAGCAGCTTTTCTTGTGTGCTTGTTTACAGCCAGTCTTTTCTACAATGACAGAACTCGTCATCAAAAGATCAGAGAAAAATGGCAGACTATGCTCCATTTCAAAGACACATTATATCTCAAAATTCTGACTTTTTCTAAGAACTCACCAGATCCACCAAAGGAACTGATCATTTGGTATATCAGATGGAGGAATTCATTTTTTACATGATAAACATGAATGAAGGGTAGAAATGTACACACACACACACACAGAGTACATGTTTAATAATCACTTCAACAGATATCACACTCCGTAAAATTATAAAGTAGTCATGTAACACAATCATGTACCATCATATTAAAATGGATATACTACATGATGTTGGGGTGGTCATTAACAGAAGCTGGAACATATTCACATTATAATTATGAATCACTTTCATGTAACCCTGTATTTAAGAAATGTTTAATCATCTTTTTGTTGGTATAGGCAACTCTAACCTCTACATATTCCACAGAAAAAGAAAAAAGTTAATCCCAAATTGATAACCCTCTTCAAACTACCATAATTTCAGGCTGTCGATCTCCTGATGTCAGTAAAGTGAATAAAAACCAAATTTAAAATAATCTTTAGACTCCAAGAGGTGAATGTGCTATAAAAATGTATTGCCTTCCAAAACCCAGTATGAAAAGGTTTTGTATCCCAGCACCTTCATTGCTGTTTGTAATGGAGAGTTGACATTGTTAAATTTAACATCATCTTATATGCCAAATTAAAATAAATTGGTACTTCATTTTCTATTTAGGAAAAGGGAATTCTGGGATTATCATGAAAATCTTCTGAATTACTTTAAAAGAAACTTGATCAATACAATAACAGATAAAACACGTTTCAGTAGACCAGGTATCTTTTTCTAAAACATACCTAATCCCTAAGCCCCCAAAGCAAGTTATTTCCAAAACCACTTAAAATAAAAAACACGATTACATCTTTTTGAGAGCCATCATAAATCCTGCAACTGTCAGATCAATGTAGCAATAAAATTATTCTTACCTCTACAGTAAAATTATGTGATATTGGCATCATGGTGAAAACACAAACCAGAAGAACTTATAATTTATAAAACTGTACGACAAATGGGTTCTCCATTTTACATGAATTTAAAAACATACAACAAAACATAGACCTACCGTATGACGGTGCATATTAACTTTGGTTAACTTAAAGCAGTATTAGGTTTCATTTGTCCTAGTAGTGCTTGGCCCACAGAAAAATACGTAACATTTGTTTTACCAATTATTAACTCTCACAAGAGAGAAGAAGAGGAAATTGATATATAATTCTGAGAGTACACAATTTGTGGCAATGACAGGTAATATATTAGAATTATGAAAATTACTGTGACCAAACATTTTCCTCTCCCTTCACTAAAATATAAGTGAAGTTTAACAATGCCCTACTGACAATGAGTAGGAGTTAAAGTACATTTTAAAACTTAACATCTTACCAGAGGAGAAGTAGGTAGTGAGATCAGTGAAACAAGTGACAGGGATTAAGAGTACATTTATTGTGATGAGCACGGAGAAAAATACGGAGTTGTTCAATTACTATATTGTACACCTGAAACTAATATAACACTGTATGTTAAATACACTGGAATTAAGAGAAAAGAGAAAAATCTGAAACTATAATAAAGGTTAACGTCTTTACCAAAGGTAAATTTTTCATCGTAAATAAAAAATGTCAATATACTTAATGTAGTTATTAGTATGTCTCGACATTTGAAAAAATTAATTCTCAAAAGGGGTTGGAGAGGAAAAAAAAAGAATGAAAGAATTACTTCTTCTGTTTCTATAAAAAGTGTTCCAAAATTCTGTTTCTCTTTTCTAAGCTTAACTCCAAAAATTCACTGTGGAGCTCTAAAGGAAGTGTCTCAGTCAAAAATAAAAATATTTCATAAATAACACAAGGGATTTTACCTCAAAAAAGAGGTAAGGGAATTTCAGCAAGACAGCAGGCACCTACATGGTCAGGTTTGAGGTAAAAAAAGTGGAATATTGGATTCCAATCAGGGAAATTCCCTATCAGTGAGAGTCATTATACACACTTGCACCAAGGATGCTACAGTCACAGATCTCCACCCTTGAGATGTTTCCAGTACCATTACTTTGATACTGGACTCTGACTACCCAAACCTCCAGCAAGTCTTCTTGTTTGCTTTCCATAACATCTAAATAGTTCCAACAAACTGCCTTACACACAATACATATTAAAAAGGTGAAAGTTATTCCTTCCAACGCCTATCCTTTATCCAGATGACTTCAATTCTTTCTATTCAAAAGAAAGGAGCAATTGGCAACACGAAGCCCCAGAAATGAACTCTTCCATTAGGAAGACAATGCCAGATTTGCTGCAGCCAAAGAATGTGTAGTGCTCCTTGTGGGCTGTCACGGGAGATGGAAAGCTACACCACGGCAAGGTCTGTACAGAGAAGAAACAGCAGGTCTGGAGCACGCACGCATCCATAACCAAGCACACACAACGCCAAAAAGCCAGCCTCTTCAGACCTACAGACAGAAACCTGGCATCCTCACACCTACTACCAACCTGACAATTTACAACCTGGTAACACCTTCTAATTAGGAAGGTTCTAGCCTTTTATAGACGAAAAATTAAACTGCTTCCCACAAGTAAGATAAACCAGACACTGGCGCCTGTTACTGAGAATACCCAGTAAATCAAACCTCCAGTGTCGCTACAGAACCTGACGTGCCAGTGACCGGGCTTCCCTAAAGCAGAGATGGGAGGAGCCCACCCAACTCTGCTAGGAGTGGAACGGGAAACACAGGACAGGAGCAAGGGACCGAGCGCAGAGGCGTGAACAGCGTCCAAGCAGGGCTAGGTTCAGCACACCGGCGGGCGACAGACACAGCGGGAACCACGCAGGGGCCGAGGTGCAGGCTGCAAAGCGGGATCCCCCGGCTGCAGAGGCCGCCCCCCGAGTCTCGTCCCGCAAAGGCACGTGCGTCAGGCACACACCGCCCCCACGCCCTTCGGAAGCTCTCCGCGAGTGCCCTCCCAGAAGACACACGCCCGTACCCACCCGCGCGCATACGCCCCTCGGGCCGGCGACGCGTACGTACCCAACAATACGCAGAGCACATCAAGGGCCACGTACGGCAGCCGCGTCTTGTCAAACATGGTCTCGGTCCGGGCGGTCGGTAGCGCGCGGTAGATGAGGCACACGGTTTACGACACGGATCCAGTGGGTGGCGACGACCCCGAGCTACGGCTCCTCCCGGCGCGGGTAGAGCAGCTGAGGGCGGAATAGGTCCGGGCGGCGCTCTGGCGGCCGGCAATGGCGCCCGGGACCCCGGCCCTCGCAACTCTGACACGCCGAGACGCTCGCGTGCCAGCCGCGGCTGCTCCGTGGTCTCAGGCCCACCTCAGTAGGCCCTGACCCGCCCCGGCGGACTGCCGTCTGAATCCCGGCGTCCGCTCCAACTGACCGAGCGTCAGGACTCGTGCTTTAAGGATTGAACCCGTTGGGAGGAGGAACGCGGCCTCGGCCCCTCCCGCTGGGCAGAGCGGAACCGACCAGCGCGCGGCTTTGCTAGCTCTGGGGAGGGACATGGAGATTACGAGGCCAATAATAGGGGGTGGGCGGGGCCTGGGACCCCGCCCAATGGTGCCAGCCAATAAGAGGCGCCGGTCCCGCCCCACCCGACCTGCAGAGTCCGCCCCTGAAGAGGGAAGGACTGCGGTCAGGCTGACTTCGCGGGCTCCTCGGGTCTGAGGCAACAACCGTTGCTCCGACCTGCCGTTGGTCTTAGTGGTCGCCGGATTTGGTCTCCTTAACCCTGGCAGACGCTAAATGTTCTATCAAAGGTCAAAACCTCTACAGTTGTTAAGGACTGGTGTGTTTTCTCCTAATTCATACCTTATACAACGATGTAAGATGCAAATCAAAAAGTGTACCTATTACTTCTCTAGATGCCCTTAGAAAAACAGAGGGATAAAAAAAAAAAATGGAGGGATAACAATTCCCTCAATGTGTCTAAAGATATAGCCCCAAGCGATACCCCACAGGCAAAGCTGTATTTGAAGAAGCATTTTTTTTCTCTTAAGAAGAATGTAAATTTTGGGAAACCTGGGTAGCTCGCTCAGTTGAGTATCTGACTCTTGATTTTGGGTCAGGCCTTGTTCCCAGCGTGGTTGGATCGAGCCCCGTGGTGGGATTGAGCCCCTGCTTTGGGCTCTGCACTGGGCACAGAGCCTACTTAGGATTCTCTCTCTCTCTCCTTTTGCCCGTCTCTCCGGCTCACTCACAAACCCTTTCTCTCTCAAAAAATTTTTCAAAAAGTAAATTTTGTATTTCACTTGTGTTTGAATATCTTTTAAAAGTTTTAAACAATTTAGCGGGGCCTGGGTGACAGTCTGGTAAGCGTCTGACTCTTGGTTTCTGCTCAGGACTTATCACAGTTGGTGGGTTCTAGCTCCGCATTGTCAGCGCAGAGCCTGTTTAGGATTCTCTCCCTTTCTCTTGGCGCCTCTACTGCTCATGCTCGTGCTCGCTCGCTCTCAAAATAAATAAAAAATAAACTTAAAAAAATTTTTAAACAGTTTATAACTGAGAAATATGTGCCATTGTTTATATGGCTTCTCTTACTTCCAGAGTTACAAGGCCCCTAGAGTGCAAGCCACAACAAATCAAAATTACTTGTGATATCTAAGTATTTGGTATTCATTCAAGAAATATTCATTGTGACTATGTGCTGGACATAATCTACGGAGAGCGCTTTATTTAAACAGCTTTTGAAATGAACATTTACTTTTAAAATGATTTTTCAAAGGTAAACATTAAAAACCTACTGATTAATAATTATTTGTTGTTTATCCATTCATTCATTCAACACTTATTGAGTCCCCAAAATATACAAGACCCACTGCACACTATTTAGAGACTAAGATGAGCAAGAAAAGATCTCTTCCCCCTGGGAGGCTGCTGCTTGATTAACAAGACTGACATATAATTGAATGAATATTGCGATAGAGGTGTGTTGTACAACAGGCACATAAAGCAGGAGTAAGCATTTTACCTGGGAGCTCTGAAAAAATTACATAGGGAAGTGATACATGTTCTTGCCTGCCCTTTCCCAACACCAGAATAGATTTTCATAGGTGAGAAGGAAGTAAAGTTAATATATTAACAGATTGTTTAGCCCTTTCGAGGAGTTACAGATAATAGCTTTAAAAATAGATCAAGAAATTGTACCTGGGTGATTCAGTCGGTTAAGCATCTCACTTTGGCTCAGGTCATGATCTCTCACAGTTTGTGAGTTTGAGTCCCACGTTTGGCTCTGTGCTGACAGCTCAGAGCCTGGAGCCCGCTTTGGATTCTGGGTCTCTTCTCTCTCTGCCCCACCCCTACTCATGCGCGCTCTCTCTCTCTCTCTCTCTCTCTCAAAAATAAATAAACATTAACAATTTTTTTAAATTTTTTAATGTTTTATTTACTTCTGAGAGAGAGAGAGAAACAGCATGAGCAGGGGAGGGTCAGAGAGAGAGAGGGGGAGATACAGAATCTGAAACGGGCTCCAGGCTCTGAGCTGGCTGTCATCACAGAGCCCGGCGCAGGGCTCAAACCCATGAACCGTGAGATCATGACCTGAGCTAAAGTCAGCTGGTTAACCGACTGAGCCACCCAGGCGCCCAACATTAACAATTTTTAATAAATAAAAATAGATCAGCAAAGTTCATTAAAGTCTATTAAGTCATTCCCTATTTTTAAAAATGGCATTTGTAATTTGTGCAGATTATAAGCAATGAATAAGTCCTCTACTGAGGGAGAGAATGATTAAGAAATGTCGTTTTCTTTTGGGGTGGGAATTTTTGTTGTTGGGAGTGGTGGCTTGTTGGTCTAATGTCATGATTGGATGCTGGTGTAATATTTAGATTTGAGAATAACTTAAATAACCTTGAAATGATAGTGAACATAATAAAAAGAAAACACTGATTGAATAATGATACTATTACCCTAGATTGGGCATGAAACCTCAAAAGCCTTCTTAAGTACCCAACAAAGTTTATCCTTGGGCCTGCATGGGTTTTTTGTCTAATATAGGCACTAAACAAAAGCAAAACAAAGTGGGCTTGGGAAGAATAGTCCTGAAGACTCCCTGAAGGTGACAGAAACTAATTTTTTCTCTTTTTTTGTTGCTAAGCACTTTGAAAAGGACACTATAATCTACATCCTCCATTTCCACTTTCTCTTTGCATATTTCTGTATTCTCACTTCTGTCCCGACTCCTCTACTTGCCCTGTTCTTTAACAGTACATAATTTAGCCTCTCCCTTTCTGTCTTTTAACCCTGCTTACTGTCTCAACTACTTATTTATTTCACAAAGTTGCTGCAAAGTAATAATAAATTCCCCTACAGCATTTGGGTTTGTATGTGTTTATGTTCTTTTCCTACCTGAGCTGAAGCAAATACAGTTTTTATTATACTAAAATATCATTGTAAAACTAAAACAATTAAAATGTAAATGTCTGGTTGATCAGAGCATGTGCCTCCCTACATGTTTTTACAATATGATGTATTATACTGGTTTTAATACTTATTACCAAAGTGATTTTTTCTTAAGATTCATGTTATATAATATTTGACATATAAATATATCATATATGAAATACAAGTTATGAATCATAATAATAAAGTAAGCAACTATTAATCCACTACTCAATTTAACACCTAGAATATTGCAGTATCATTGAATTCACCCATGTGTTGTATCCCACGTCCCTCCTTCAGGAGTGCTAACCACCATCCTGAATTTTGTGTTTATTTTCTTCTTGCTTTGTTATTTCTCTGTTGAAAACATATAACCATATATGTATATACCTCTAAAAATATATTGTTTAGCCTTCTTGTTTTTAGCTTTTAAAAACATATGATACATGTAGTCTTCTACCTTTGATTTTTTCCTCTCAAAATTGTATATCTTTTTTTTTAAATTTTTTAATGTTTTATTTATTTCTGAGAGAGAGAGAGACAGCATGAGCAGGGGAGGGTCAGAGAGAAAGGGAAATACAAAATCTGAAACAGCCTCCAGGCTCTGAGCTGGCTGTCAGCACAGAGCCCGACCTGGGGCTCGAACCCATGAACAGTGAGATCATGACCTGAGCCGAAGTCGGACGCTTAGCCGACTGAGCCACCCAGGCGCCCCAAAATTGCATTTCTTATCATCATACCTGTTGCTATAGTAGTTGTAGGTCTATTATATGAATATATCCTTCTACATTCTTCTGACAGTGGACATCTGGGTTATTTCCATTTTTTGCTATTACAAAAAATGCTGCTGTGAACATTGGCATGTGTGTCTCCCATGTGGAATCACTAGCAGTGAAACTGCTACATCAGGGCATCTGCCCACGTTGTATTCCCAAGTCATTGTACCATTTTACCTCACGGACACTAGCTGAGGAGACGACCCTACATTTTTGTCAACGTTTATTTTTGAGAGGTCTTGATTTTTGTTAATTCAGTGGATAATATGTAGTCATAATGACTGGCTATCACAGTGTAGTCATAATTTGCATTTGCCTGATAATGTTATCAGGCATCTTTCTCTCAATTGGCTCACCAAAAATATTTCTTCTTCTGTCAATTGCCTGGCTTCTGCATATTTTTCTATTGGGTTGTGTATCTCATGTTTATCAAAGTGTAGATGTTCTTTCAATAGTCTCAATAGTAATCACTTGTGACTTGTGATTTCACTTTCTTTACAAGCAACTAAGTTACAGAGTTCTTATAAATGTAAAATAAGCAGAAGTCTACTGGCAGTTTACTGTGAGAGTTTTTGCTCTCCTAATCAAAGGAAAAGACTGGTTTCCCTTCCCTTCTCTTTCTACCTTCCTTGAACTTGGATATGATACTTAGAGCTATAGCAGCCATCTTGTGATGGTGAGGTAAAGGCCAAGAAGAGTAGTGCCACTAGTCTTTATAATGTTGAGCCACTAACGCAGTCAGCAACTAGCTACCTCCAGATTTCTCCATAAGTGAGAAAAAAAAATTGCTGAAGCCTCAAATAGTCACAACGAATACAAGGCTAAAGAGTATGTTGAGTACTATTTCTGAGAAATCATATGTAATATTACTCTAAGAAAACCTTTCACTTGAGCTAACTTAATTGAAACTGGTCCTTCAAACCACACAACCCTAAATTAAACAATTTGGGCAGGGGAAAAAGAGTGCTGAAGGAGAATGAATTTTTAAGAATGGTTTGAGCATGGAGACAAAACAAATGGCACATGTGAAGCCTCTGAGGGGGAAAGGAGGTGTAAATGCTCACACAGTGGATTAATCGAAATTTAGGTTCTAAAAGGTAGGTTTGAGCAGTTTATAGTTTAAACCGCTGGAGGCAAGGAAGAATCACTAAAAATGCATAGTGAGTTGCTGAAAAGTCATTTAAAACAGGTAATCTAGTAGTGATCGGAAGCCCTAATCTCTG